AAAAAAAAAAAAAAAAAACAATACCTGCACTCAAATGTTTAGAGCAGCACAATTTATAATTGCAAAGATGTGGAAACATCCTGAGCCGTTGAATGGAGGTGTCTAAAGGCCTCTGACTGGAGAGCAGCTGTGATCCACCTCTGTGCTGCTGACACTGTCATCCAAACCTAGCCAAGATACCCCTCTAGTGCAGCCCTCCTTAGCTGTCCTTAGGAAGAAGTCATTCCATATCACAAAGAAGCCTGGGGATCTCCAGTGGTAGGTTAGGTGGAGATATGATGGTTCCCTCTCTTCCTGCACATTCTGTGCTTCCTGTGTGTCTCCAAGCAAGAGGAGTACTGCAGGTGGCATGGGTATTTCTGTTTCTGTTCTAGGTGATGTAGGTCTAGAACCCAAGTCTTGTGCTGCCCGGTTCAAGGCCCTTGCACCAGACCTAGATCTGCTAAGAGTATCAGCTAAGAGTATCGTCCAACAGCCCACACGCTTTCCTCTTCATCCCACAGCTGGGTCCCTTTGCACCTGCATCTGTGGGGCTCAGCACATCTGCATAGAGAGCCAATCCAGGGGAAGAGAAGAGGGGTATAAAGCCTAGGGGCAGAGGCATGGTAAGGACCAGGGCCTATGAAACCTTGGGCACCATGAGAAAATACAGAGCATGTGGACCCTCAAGAGCAAGAAGCAATGCCCATCTGCCTTCCCCTCCTACCTTCAATTTACAGATGGGGACACTGAGGCCTGAGATCGGAACTCAGACCCCTGTTCTCCCTGCTCAACACTCCTCCACTGGCTGACTCTGCCTCTGTTTTTGGTGGGGTGTGGGGTGGTGGTGTATGGCCATTAGACATGGTCACACTTGGTGGGAGTCACATTGTACCTCACTGAGCACCTGCACTATCTCTGACTCATTTTGTCCTCCCTAACTGGACAGGTAGGTCACCAGAGCCTGGAACTTTACAGAAAGAGCTCTGAGGTCCAAAAGGATGTCCCTGCTGTTGGGTAGACTCAAGGTGGGGAGAAATCTATAATCCGGGTGTGTGGTGCATTTGGGTCCCATGTGTCTCTCTTTCCCACTTGGCAGGACACGGAGAGGTTTCAGGCCCGCAGTCAGGAGCTGGAACAGAAACTGTTATCTAAGGAGCAGGAGCTGGAACAGCTCACCCAGAAGCAGAAAAGGGTATGTTGTTGGCAGTGTCCTCAGAGTACCTGGCTCTTTGCCCTGTTCTCTTCTCTGGCTCTTGCCCACTTTCCCTGCCATTCACTTAGGGATTTTTTTTTCAGATGAGAGGAACCATTTAGGTGTACAAAGGATAGCACTGAAAATCGCAAGTGATCCTGAGATAAAGCCTTTACTTCTCCAATGCCAGGTGTTAAACTTGGAAAAGTTGCCAAGCATTTCCCCACAAGGTATCTGCAAACATTTTCATTCAGTTATACCCAAGAGCCACCAGAAAGCCAAAACTTAATTTGTTTCCAGCCTCCTATATAAGAAAGGAGGGAAATGCTGAGGTTCAAGGGACATTGTCTACCCCTGATATTTGGGGGGAGACTGCAGACAAGTTTATTCCTTCCAGGATGACCATGGAAGTCTCCAGCTGGAAAAGCCCCTTCAAAGGTCAATCTCTCCCTCCCCTGTCTGCGCAAGACCTGGATGAAATTCATTGCCCTCTTTGATGACTGTCCTCATAACCTTGCAGAAAGAGTATAGACATCAGACACTCCTCTCTAATGTCCCTGAGCCTCCAGGAGGCAGGTTGGGTACTGAGCTCTGCAGGCCCGTGTCTCTGTGGTGGGAATGCTTGGCTAATTTTTGACCCCCCAAAATTGATCATCCAGGCAAACCTCCTATCAGCAGCCTCCTCTTCATAGCAAGGCTCGTGGATGAGAAAGGCCAGGATGCCACTGACCTCCTAATTTCTTTTGCCTGGTCTTGGAAGGAATCCAGCCCTGGACAGACTCAGACACATTGCTTCCATTTGAATAGACAGGGCTATTTTTAGGAACATGTCAAAATGTGCTTGATGACACCCCTGCTAAGACCAGAGACTGTTCCTCTGCTGCCATGACCCAAGCTTTGGATTGGGGTCTCTTTCCTTCCGTAGCAGGGTGATGTCGCACCGGAAACTGCCAGTTTCCTTTCCATTCCCCCCATCCCCAGTCACTCTCTCTTCTCCTACTCTCTCTCCTCCTCACTATTCTGCATTAAGTTCTTGCCAATTAGATTTATCCCTCAATGAATGACTGCCACTCGATTTAATTACTGCATGCCTGCTGATTACACAGGGGCCTCTTGAGAGTCACGTGCAATCCCTTGTTGTTGCTTCTTCCTCCCCTTACTGGCCACATTTATTAAACCAAATTTATTATGATATATGTACTTGGAGGGCTGAAAGCTCTGCAGAGCATAATCGCCAGCCAAGAAAAGCTTAAGTTATAAAAATGCAGGGACTTTAGTTGCTTTAGGGACATAGAAAAGGTCCATGTTCTGTTTGACCTGTTTTAGTATTCCCTAAGAATTTCCATGGCTTCTGGCAACCCTAAAATGCTTCTCTAGATTAAAAAAATTGGACTTATTTAGTTATAGGATAAAAGAGAATAAATAGACTTATCATCAGCATGCAAAATTGGGAAGGGTGGTTTTATGAAAAAAACCACTTAGCTATTCCCCATCTCCATCAAGGACCAAGGAAAAGTAATTGGATTAAAGGATAATAAGATAGATTGAGGTTAGGTTTCAAGACTATTCTGACTTTGGGATGGGAGACACAGATGCATTGTGGAATTTCCTTTGCTGGGTGATCTTTTTGTAGGGGGTGGCTCCTTCTAGACTGTTCGGTGGTCCTGTGTGGAAACAGGAGCAATGAGATGTGCTACAGAAGTATATATGAACAAATAAGGGAGCAGGAACATGCTGATTTGGGCTTGCAGGTGGTAAGAGGCAGCAGTGACAGTTCCTGCCCTCCACAGAGGGAGAGCAGGTGAGGCCAGGGCAGGCCAGCATGATGGCAGTGGTTGGTCTTCATTCCCTCTGCTCCCCATTTCTTCTCAGCTGGAAGGTCAGTGCACAGCCCTGCATAGTGACAAGCATGAAACTAAGGCCGAGAATACCAAGCTGAAGCTCACTAACCAGGAACTGGCCCGGGAGCTAGAGCGGACCTCCCGGGAGCTCCAGGAGGCTCAGCAGCAGCTGGAGGGCCTCCAGCAAGAGGCCTGCAAACTCCACCAGGAGAAGGAGATGTGAGTCCGGACTTTGTCCACCCCTGTGCTATCCTCCAGCCCCATTCTCCATTGTGAGCTATTCCCTTCCCTCTGGGAGACCCTGCAAAATGGAGAATTTGGGCTTATTGCTCTCTGAGACCCCTTCTAGTTAGTACTCTGCCAAGCATTGCTTAGGACTGGCAAGAAATGTGCCACCCTGTTCTTAGAAAATTTATTATGTGATTAGAAAGACATGTTATTCCACTAACAAATATGAGGCAGTCTCTTAAGCAGATGTGTTTGAGCAGACAGACCCTTGGTGACTGTCATAGAAAGCCTAGGTGGACTCTGGGAAACAGGAAGGCTTCAGAGGTCAGCATGCAATCTGATGGGGCGTGGGGCAGTGCCCTGGAATCTTCTCTGCAGCTCTGCCCATTTTCTTCACAAGCGTTACTCGGATTAGGCTGTGTGGGCCCAGTTGGGGAAACCCCACATCCCATAGGGTCTGACTTGCCAGTGAACTGCTTTTGATGTCCAGCCCTTGGGTTCAGCTTGCTAGGTAGAGGCATACCTGATGAAGACTCAAGACTGGGTCTGTACCTTGAGCTGGAGGAGTCACTGAGGAATCAGCCATTTATCTGGTCTTGGGAGTCTTAGGTTTGAAAACAAATGCACCCTGAGGCTCATGGCAGAATAACATCACTTGTTCATTTGCTCACTCATTCATCCATAGATTCATTAGCTTGTTCTTTTGACAAACATTTATTAAATTTTGTTTTGTGGTGTGCTAGGTACTGTGTTGGGCATTCAACATATCTCATGTGTGTAAATAATTCAATATCATCTCCTTTGACCTTTAAAGCATCCTGATAAGGCAGATACAGTTATTATCGACTCTATAGATGAGAAAACTGAGGTTGAGAGGTTCAAGTAACTGTCCCAAGATGCTAAGTCCTAGACACATTTTGCTGACTCCCTCCAGAGAATCATGAGCCAGCCAGAAAATATTTTCACAAGAGTAGAACTGGCCACCATTCACATACTCATCGATTCATGCACTCTCCATTCATTCATTTATTCTGCAAAAAGTAATTGTATGTCTGGTCCTGAAAGGTACCAGGTAGTACTTACTGCATGTCTGACATCAGGGGAAGAAGCAGTGTTACTTACCAGTGCTTAATGTTTGACAGATGTTAACTTTCCTCCTTCAAAAGTAAAAGAAAGCCCTAACTCAGTCTGATAACCAGCAAGACTTTGGTCCTTCCGTCTAAGTAAACTTAGTCTGCCAGTTTGGTTCATGTAAGGAGTCCTGTACCACTTGGGACAGATTGCCTGGTAAGAAAGGGAGAACATGTGATTGGATTGGGGATTTTACCCTAGTAAGATCTTTCCACCTTGAAAAAAAAAAAGTCTCCCCAAAAAACTGATACAAAACAAAACAAATCCCCTTCATTCCAATTCCTGGATGACCAGTTGTGGAAGGACAGTGTATTTCATTGTAAACAAGCAAAATCAGTTCCTCCTCATTGAGAACCGGTCAACAAGGTATAGGCACTTAACTTTACAAACAGAATTAAAGATTCGGGCTCTTAAAATTCAATCAAGTTCTAAAAGCAATAAACATCTGAAAGCACAAGCATTAGAACAGCAAATGGAAATAAACACCCAGTGCTGGAGTAGCACATCGCAGCACAAGGATTCAAAGCTTTCTGAAGTCTTATCTTAATTAACCAAGCCAAAGACACAATCTCTTGGGGCTGGGAATTGAAAAAGAGGGAGGGAAGAAGGGTTGGGAGGAAGAGAGAAATAAGAGTGCAGAGCCTTCATGACTTGTTTTCAAGAAGCTTACAGTATCTCAGTGAGCAGGATAGCACGCAGGGGCCCAGGACAGTGTGTCCTGTCCAGAGAGGCCAGGAGGGAAATGCAGCAACAGCTCAACTTCACAGATTGAGAGCACCTCAGTGCTCTGAGCCACCTCTCTCATTTAATACATGAAGAAACTGAAGCTTAGAGAGATGTAGGGAGTAGCCCAAAGCCACATAGTTAGATAGTGCCAGAAAACAGGGACAGAACCTAGTTCTCCCGCTGCTCCTGTGCTTCCTGAACTGTGCCCTGCTCCCTCTGCTGCTGCGGAGCTGTGGGGAGGGGAGAGGGTGGATCTAGGAGATAAACAGACTCAGTCATTTATCAGCAAAAATTCCGAACAGGCAAAATTAATTTTTCTGTTCTCTGAAGATGCACAAGGTAGGAGAACTAAGATTTAAAATGGGATAAAGAAAGAACTATCAATCAGGAGATAATATAAAGATAAAAGTCAGCTGAAAAACAGTACTTCTCTATTTATTTTTTAATTAACTTTGATTTTGAGTCAGTAGTTATGACGAGGCACAAAATTTGAAAGGAACAAAAGGACATATACTCAAAAGGCGGTCTGTCGTCCCAGCATTTGCCCAGTCTTGTCGCCCAGAAGCCGCCAGTCACAGTTTATTGTGGATCTTTCCAAAGTATACATGTGCATGGGTGTGCACGCACACACACACTCATAAGCACACCCACACACACGTGCACAGACACACATGCACACACACTATTTTCCTTGACAAAACACTAGCATACTGAGCATACGGTCCTGCATTTACCTTGAATTTGTCACCTGACAGCATGTCCTGCAAAGTGCTCCATAGCTCATCCCTCTCCTAAAGTCAAGGCCAATAGCTGTTCCTAAAGGTAACTGTGAAACTCTCACCAGTTACCACTCCAGAAACCCATCAGGTTTTTACCTTTCAGTTTACATATGACCCATGTATAGACTTTTTTTTAATGTATAGACTTATAGAACCTCTAGGTTAGAAGGAATTTGGAGGTCATTTACTCAAACACCCAAGAGTCATTTGTTTTTTTTCAGAAATGCCTTTCTTTTTCTTGACACAAATACATACATGGATACCTATACATATGTATGTATATACGTATCCACAAATATCCACGTAGACATGTTTCCTGGACAAATAGATAGATCACTTGTATTTGCATACATATCAGTGTATCACAAATACACCATGTAAAACACAGTATGTGTGTGTGTGTGTGTGTGTGTGCAGTGCCAGTGGTCAGCTGGTGCTGTGTAGGCAAGGGAAGTGGAGAAGACCCACAAGGTAGGGGCTGGCTGCTCAGTCAAGCACTGTGTGAAACCTGGACTGTAGTCCCCAGCGAATGATTCTCCTCAGCAGAGCAAAGCTGTATACTCCCACCGCTCCCAGAGAGAAGCAGGATGCAGGGTGGGCTGGAGCTGCCTAAGGCACAGTGCAGGGGACCTCCAGCCCCCAGCAGGGCACTCACCCAGCGCTTATCAGAGTCCTAGACAGGAGCCTGGGGACCCAGTTTGGGTAATGGAAAATACATTGTTTTCCTCAAGTTGAAATTAAATATAATTGGTAATAAAATGTTAGGAATTTGCAGCTCTGCAGGAGCCAGAGAACTTTTGTTGCTTAATTAGGATTGTCTGAGGTGAACTTAGAATTTGATTCAGCCTGTTATTGCCATAAATTGACTTTATAATTATTCTATGAAGAGGGAGAAAAAAGAAACACAGATAGCATTTAAGGAATCAGGTTGTTAGGATCTTGCCAAGAGAGTCCCATGGACCCAGCATGCTGCTTCTGTTTACACCTGCTCGGTGATGGGGTCACTGGAGTGGCAGAAGGGGGGCCGCCCTTGCCCAGCCTGGTGTCTGCACCCAGGACAGCCCATGGAAAGGTACAGAGCGATCAGAGTGCACAGTGTTGTCTACACTAAAAGCTACGCTGTGGTTTAGAAATGTGGGCCTAGGGACCCTTTACAGTAAGATTGGAGGGTGATTTTGAAATTTCTAAAGCATGGTATAGACAGAGCACAGAGGAAAAGATGAAGACAGAATTGTGCAGTTAAGCAAGTTTCCTGGCTCACCTAATTCTACTTTTTTTTTCTTTCATTTCTTCTCTGAGTGGTGCTGATGACCATTCCCACTCACACCCACCTACTTGCCTTTCTTCCTTCCTGCTTCCCTCCTCCCTGCCTCCCTTTCTCCCGTCTTCCCTCCTCCTCGGCTCCTTGACTCCCTCTCTCTTCTTTTCTCCTGTCACTGTTTGCTGACTCTGTAGCAGGCCCTGTGTTGAGGACACAGTTATAAACAAGTCAGGCACGGCCCCTGCGTCCCCATCTCAGTTTCCCTCAGTCACCCTGTGTGTGCCATGGCCTCTCTGCTTCTCTCTTTCCTTCCTCAAATTCCTGATGCAATTGATATGTTCACACCCTGATATAAACTATTAGAATTGACTGATTCATTTGTTCATCCTATTGTTGCATTAGAGCCAGAGAGGTGAAATCCTAAGTCAAAGAAATGAATGCACAACAGTGGAAATTCCGATCTGGAAACAGATGGGAGACTTTAGGGGGAAGGTGGGAAAGGGGAAATGACTTCTTCCAGAGCTCCTGAAAACAACTGAACAAGCATCTTCCCAGCTACCATAAGATGTTTTTTGGTTTTGTTTTTGTCTTCGTGAGAGCAAGGCAAGGTCACTCTTCTGGCATCTAGGATGCTACCAAATTGAAAAGGGGGACATAATTAAAGTTCTGTTCTCCTCTTCCAGGATCCAGCTGGAGAAAAATACTGATTCTAATTCCCTGAAGTCTGGGCAGGGCAGAGGGGTTGGTACGGTCATCATCCAGCTATACCCCAGGCGGCATGTGGAAGTAGCTGTGGGATGCATGGGCTTTGGAGGTGTAGGCGAGGACCATGGCTCAGTCTCAAATTGTCTGTGTGACCTGGGAAGTGTCGTGGAGCTTCTTTGACTCCAGGCTCTGTAACAGGGATAATTTTACCTCCCAAGAAGGGCGTCTGTGATGACTGAAATAGTGGCTCTAAGCACCTGCGTGCAAGGGGGCTGCTCTCCGGGGGAAGGCCACTTTCCCCCTTTCCCTCTGTCCTCCGTGAGCCTCTCCTGCTGGCTTCAAGCATAAGGGTCCCAGGCATCGGACCACCTGGTGCCTCACCCCGCTCACCTGGCTGTGTTTGTCTCCTCCTCAGGGAGGTGTACCGCGTCACGGAGAGCATGCAGCGGGAGAAGGCCGGGCTCCTGAAGCAGCTGGACTTCCTAAGGTGCGTGGGTCAGCCCTGGAAGAGTTACGAGGCCGCTTCCTAGAAGCCCAGGGTTGAAAGGGCTGGTCTGAGAGTGTCTTTCTCTGCCTACATGCAGGTACTGGAAAAACGTAGCTGCTGAGAGGGCCCTTATTCCCTTGGTCCTAAAGTAGTGCTCAGAGCCCTGATTACCCACCTCCTCCTTCTCCTCCTCCTCCTGCGTAAGCTCTGCCTCACTTGTACTTAACGTCTCTCACAGTACTGTGCCTGGTACTCACTCAAGAGGAGTGAAGGTTGAGTCATTGCCCATATAACCTATCCAGATAAGTTATCTCTTTCATCTTCAACAAACTGTTAAGAAGCGCCATTGTTAATACAGGAATGAACTGATGAGGAAGTAGATGTTAGAGAAGTGAAGTAATTTGCCACCCGTGACACAGCTACTCACTGATGGAGCCAGAACTGAGATCCGTATCTGGCTGATTCCTTTCGCTTGGCCATATTCCCTTCATGTTCGTTGAATGGGGAGTGGCGTCACCAACAGAGCACCAAGAATGGAGTTTCTTCAGCCTTCTGAAACTCACTGCAACAAACTCACCAAAGTCCGCTGGTCTAGAATGGACTCCCCAAGCAAACCTGTGTGGGGAAAGATGGAATTTCAGTCCTGCCTCGGAGGTGTCTAGGTGACTGTGCTGGCTGCCTGCTGCATACCTCTTGGGGAATAGGACTGGAACAGAAGGACTTTGGGATCTGCTTTTTAAAAGACATGTGGTTTTGAATCACTTCCCAGCCACCTTAAGACGTTTTTTGGTTTTGTTTTTGTCTTCATGAGAGCAAGGCAAGGTCACTCTTCTGGCATCTAGGATGCTACCAAATTGAAAAGTACTGCAGCCAGAATGCCTTTCACATTGACTGAACTCAGCTGTGATTCAGGCGGGACCCCAGAGCGGAGAGATGCAAGGGAGTGCATCTCCAGCCCAGCGCTGATCCATTTGAGAGAAGGTCTTGATTCTTCGGAAGGCTTTAGTCAGAGGAAGAGAACAAGATGTACAAGGACAAGTTTTTGAGTCTTTTCTTCTTTTTTTCTATTGTATTTAGAAAAAAAAGTTAAAAGGCAGATCCAAAGAGAATGAGCAAGGGAGAATAGCAAGGCAGCTTTCTGTAAATCCTACAGGTCTTCTTAATGGATACCAGCACCTGTGCAGAATCACATGCCTGAGGCCCCTCTGTGCCGTAGATTGTGGGGTTACCAAGCCTGAGCCCTGCCAGCTGCTGAAAGCTGAGAGGTAGAGGGAAGGCCCTGCAGCAGATCAAGGGAGCGATGATACTGGGTTGGGGTGGGGAGGGTAGTGAGCAGGTAGAAGGAGGTGCGAGGGGGACGGTGGTGGGATCAGGGCAATGGTGGGATTGAGGAGGGTTGCCATCCTACCACAAAGGAGGGTAAACAGAATCAATTTGGAACACTCAGCAAGGAATGTGCACTCTGGAGCCGGATCTAGTTCAAGACCCAGCACTGCCCCTCCTTAGCTTGTGTGACCTTGGGTGGTTGACATACCCAATTTGAAACCTAGTTTTCTCAAATCCATGCCCAAGGCACTCACTTCTGTAGTCTCCTCCTTCTTCAAACTTCCTCCTTTTCCATCCTCACGCTTGGCTCCAGTGTCACAGAGACAGCCAGAGCCCCTACCCAGGCTCCTGGCAGTGTGCCCCTCTGTGTCTGTGTCTCTGCCCTCTTCTCTGCTGGGGTGATGCCCTCTACAGGCTCCTGGCAGTGGCCAGCCCCATCCCCACTGTTCCCAGCTATCCTTCTGGAAGGAGATCCATGCCCTTTTGCCCCCTCAGGGACTTTTTGTCCTCTCTCCTCCACTGTCAGTTTCGTCTCCATTGCAGAGACCTACACGTTTACTCTAATATTCCCCGTCTAACATCTCTGGGCCTCACTGCCCCATCCACCTGCTTGCTATTTCTTTCGTCCCTTTACAACAAAAACTATCCAAAACAGTTGTTCACACCCACTGTCGCCACTCCTTTCCTGACATTCTCAACCCGCCAGTCAGGCTTTTTCCACCACCATTCCATGAAAATAGTTTCTGTCCAGGTCACCCATGACCTCCATGTTGCTAAAACGATTGGGTGAGTCTCAGAGCCCACCCTTGTCCCCAGCAATCCATTCTGAGCACCACATCTAGAGGGATACTTTGAAAACTGGAGTCAGGTCTCGACCTGCCTCCATCTCCCACTCATCCATCCCCACCTACATATCTCATTTGGAATACAAATCTAAGTTTGTACGGTGGCCCATAAGACTGTGAAGGGACAGGTCCCCACGCAGCTGGATTTTTTCTCTGATCTCATCTCGTGACTGCTCTCCCTTTGAGCACTCTTCTGCTGCCTCCTCTCTGTGCTTCTCACACATACCAGGTATGTCCCAACTCGAGGCTTTGCCCTTGCTGTCTCCTCTGCCTGAAATGCTCTCCCCGAGACCCGTGATCTCCCCCTGTCCAAGTCTGCTCAGATGCTGCCTGGTCAGTGAGGCCTTCAAACCAATCTGAGTGAAATGCCACTAGACCTTTGGGCTCTCCTTATTCCACTTTTTGCTTCATTTTCTCAACATAATTATCCACCACACACACTCACTAAAATATGAGTTCCCTGAGGTGGGAAATATTTGTTCCATTCAGTGTGACCTTGACAGCTATAACACTAGAACAATGCCTGGTATGTAGCAGGGGCTCAGAAGACATTTGAGAGGATGCATGTGTGAATGAATGACTGGGTCACAGAGTAGGCACCACCCCACCCCACCCCACCCCCAGTGACTGCAGAGGTTGCGAATGATCCTGAAACCTGTGGGTGTTAGGGGGTGCTTCAATCTGTCCCCAGCCTCTGAGTTGATTTACATACAAACGCTCCTCTGCCCTTAGTCTCATCCCTAAGGGAAGAGAGTCCACGTACTCCCTGGGCATTTTCCACCAAGCCTTTCCCTGTACCCATCTGACTAGCAAATCGGCTGCTGTTGGATCTGTCCACTGCTGACCCCATGTTTGAATAGATTTCTCTTTGTCATCCACAGGGAAAGGAACAAGCACCTTCAGGATGAACGGGACATATGTTTTCAGGTATTTGGCTGGTTCTCCCTTACCTAGAGTGGGGAAGACAAGGACTGTGGTCCCAGGGACAGCCAGATCCATGCTGGGATTGGCCCAAGAATGTCCTAACCCTTGGGTTCTGTTTAGGCAGGACAATAGCATACGACTTTCTTTTTTCAAATAATAAAAATGCAGGGTGGCCTCCTAGGTAATAGTGTGTTGATTTTCAATGGAGTAGCATACTTTCCGTTTGGCACAACAAGACAAAAATATTTGGGAGGGCCACACACTTCTTGGATGCAGAAATGATAGTTGTATCCATGAGATGGCGCAGTTGAAATGTCATTATCACTTTTAAATCGAAGTGCTCACAGTTTTCTTCTTCATTTAAATTTCTTGAAAATTTTGCATTTTTACACCATCATAGAACAAGTTAAAAAATGTGTATTTTGCTATTTACATAGTTGACTTTATGAACATTTTTTTCTGCCCTATGGGGAGCCCTCGTCCTCCATACCTGAGCACTGCGTCTATATACTTTCCAAATAGTGTGTTTCACTGTGGGCCACATTAAACAAAACCCAGGATTCCACGTTGCCTTGCTCACTCTCCCCTTTAAAGAGGATCCTCTGAAAGGGAGATGGAGGCAGGATTGATTGGTATAACTTCCTAACTGTCAGGATTGTCACACCATGAATTTCATACATGTCCAGGGCAAGCCCTTAGCCGCATGGACCATGACCCCAGCTGTCACATGAGGAAAGGGAATTCCTGGCATAGGCACAGAGAGAGAGAGAGATTTTGGAGAAAAATTATTGGAAAGAGAGTGATGTGCCTGGGACCCTTAGCTGAACAATGACCTAAAATAGTCAGAGAAGGGAGCTGGCTTACCGGATTAGGTCCCATCTGGTTTAGAACTGCTGAGCCCTGAGGGACCCTGTTCTAGCATCATGTATTTTATGTCCCTGACTGGCAGCAAGCATCTCTTCCACCCACCTCTGTGTGCTATTAGAGCAAGACATAAGCCTACACATGTTTGTTTGATGGTGATAATGGTTATAATTGTTTTAGAAGTAACACGGAATTTATTTTAAAACTCCCAGCCAAATATCACCCTAATGCCTTCACCTCTATTCCCTTCACCTGCTGAACTCACTCTGCTTTGAAAGGGGGATGGAAGTAAGAACTGTAATGAGGAATCAAAGATCATGCTGATGCTGAATCATAATTAATTTGAATCATTGTAGCCACGTACCTTCAGGGGCTCTGGGAGCGCTTGCAGCTCCTCCTCCCCTCATTAAGCATCATTAGGAATCATGGGATGGCTGATTATGAGAGCTTCTTCCTGTGATCTAACTCCCCCTCATCGCCTAGAAGACATCTGTTAGGGAGCATTGAGTTCCCACTGCCTGAGTTCTCAGATACAGATGTTTGAGCAATTTACCTACACCCAGCCTACTTCCACGAAAGTTCTGAATTACCTCGGGCTAGCTCAGGAGGTAGGGACAGGGCACTGGGCTAATTGATCCAGGGACTGGGCTGGTCCCTTTCTTATTACATCAGGGCTCTGGAAATACAGACGGATTAGACCCCCACAGGAGAGTAACATGAAAGATGCACAGAAGCGTTTTATACCCATACATATTTCTCCTAGGTGTTAAACATTTCTCTCTTCTTCTTTCTCCTCTTGCAAATTATCAGTGCTCATATAGAGAAAAACATGGTGGAGCCCAAGCACTAAACTGTGCCTTCATTTGATTAGATTATGGGAAAGGCACAGAGGGATTCTGGTGAGGGATGATGGCAAAGGGGAAGAGTAGGTAAAGGTTAATAGGGGAAGGCTAACAGAACACTGCTCTCTTACTTCAAAGGCTGTTTACAGCCTGACCTGTGAGGTGGGAGCAATGTTTCTGCTCAAACATGAAGGTGAATCAGCAGGCGTGGATCTGAGGGCATTTTGTGTTTCTACAGAAAGATAAGGCAGCCAAGGCAAACACAGCTGCTTCCAAGGCAAGCTGGAAAAGGAGATCTGGCTCTGTGATAGGCAAATATATGGACAGCAGAGGGATTCTTAGAAGGTAAGTCTTTATTCACTGGTTCATGCGTTCATGCGGTTCATTCATCTCACGCTCAGGGGGAGCCCACTCTGGGATCAGGCTTGGTGCATGCTGGCCTTTTGAGATGTGCCTCTGCTGAGGAAGCTGAGATCAGCTGCACCCGCTCCCCTGAGTCTTGGAGGGCACGCCTCTCCTTTTTCTGACATCTAAGCCAGAGGTGGACTGTGCAGAACAAACCCCTAGGGCAGCCATTATCTTCCGAGAGGAAGGGACTGCAGAGGGGTGCTGTGGGTCAGCAGAGGAGAGAGAGAAGGAGTAGGGTCAAGGGAGAGAGAAGTGGAGGGCATGGCTGGACAATGTTCTGTTGTCTGCAGGGCAGGATGGACGTGCTTGGTTTTATAGGAACATGACTGCATAGGCTATGAAGGTTAATTAAAGTGTCATATGCAGTCACCAATAATTGAACTCCTTTGGTAGACAAGACTGGGGCCTGTGCTTGACAGATCATTTCAGCAATTCATATTTCATTAACTGAAAGATAGCATCTTTTCTTTGCTGTTGGACAGCACATGATTGAGTTTGCATACCCAAAGAGGTAGCTTATTGCTCATTTGGACACAGGACAGTCCCCTGGCCCCTCTTCATTTTGGCAGGTGCTCTATCCACATAGATGGGCACAGAGAGGGGCATCCAGGTCCTTCAGTATTAGACTTATGGAGAAAGTTGTGTAAACTTGCTCATGAGGAGACCCTGAAGGCCGCAAGTGTAACATAGGAAGACACATAGAGGGAAAGAGACTCTAGGGATGTCAATCAGCTCATCAGTAAAATCTTCGGGCCTGAGCATCATGAATTCCTTTACTAAATAGCTGAGTAATGAGATACAATTGGAGAGCTGAATTTCTGCGATAGTACCTGGCCTGTTGATTCCTTAGGACTGAATATATTCATTGACTGATTGATTCAACAGCATTGCTGATTACCTACTCTGTACCAGACATTCTTTTGAGTTCTTTGAAGGCTCTGAAGATAAATTAGACACAGATGATACCAGTAATATCCAAATTATTAAAAGCTCACTTAATAAATATTTATTGGGTATCTACCATGTGCGAGGTACTGTGCTGTGCTGACATCCAGTGGTGGACAAAATAGACCTATTTCCGTCTCTCGGGGCTCATAGTTGAGCAGGGGAAGCCACACGTTATGAACCCAGAATTCTAATACTGACTTTGGCAAAAGTAGCTGCTCTCTCTACTGCTGGCGGAGACCACTTGGTTGTAAAACCACAAATGAACTTAGTCGTACTAAGATGAGGGTGTTACAGGATGTCAGTAGCGCTTGAGAATTTCCCCCAATAAAAAGCTTTTTCCAAGAAATGCTTCCTTTTAAGACCTAATTTAAGTGACCATTTCTTTTCTGGTTGCAAAGCCTTTGAAAAAACATGCTGTGTGTGTGTGTGTGTACACTCACTCAGACATGCACACAATATTCATCCTGTGTATATAAGCAGAATGAAAGTGGATGGGAACACTAATTATGGTTTAAAGCAGACAAGCAGTTAAAGTTAATAGACTCCATATGATAGAGAGGAAGTTTGTTGGAAAGAAGACATTCAGCTTTTTTAAAAAATTGGGTTTTTTGTAAGTCAAGAGAAAGGTGCTTGAATTGCTGCAAATCCTTTCTTTTCTATCAAGGGATCCAAACTAATTCACCTTTTTTTTTTGCAGTTTTTGGCTGGGGCTGGCTTTGAACCCGCCACCTCTGGCATATGGGGCTGGCACCTTACTCCTTTGAGCCACAAGCACCACCCCTAAATCACCGTTTTTGTGAGCAAGCACTGTATCTTGATTTCTCTTTCTTATTTATCCCAATTTATAGAACTGTAGGTAACTTCAGAATGGCCGTACACACATTTGCTTATCATTTTCCTTCCTGCTGTTGGTTTTTAGGAGTAATGAAGGTTATGAGCCAGGAAGCCAGGGCCTCTCCGGCCTGCACAGTGCCCTTCACTTCCTTTCTCATTCGGCCCTGTGGCCTCACTTCTTCATCCTGTTCATTTTCTTTCTAATCCGTGCACACTTAGTGTTTGTGTTTGTTTTTCAATTGTGGGCTTAAGGTCCTCCCTTCTCAAACTTCCACCACCTTAAGACAATTCTCCTCTTGTGAATTGCTCACAAAGACCCAAGAGGACTTCCTGTGCTCAGAGTATCCGGAAGGCCTCCGCTCCCCAAACCTTCTGAAAATTCAGCCTGTGCCTTGGTCTCCCTCAAGATGCCCATGCCCCTCAACCTCTCATGTCTTCTCCTTGCTCTTGGCGCTCAAATGCTTCTAGAAGCAAAAATGCACTTAGGCCTCTGAGGCCATTAATTCCTTACTGCTTTCCAGGGGGCATGGTAAGGGGGAGGAAGAGGGGTAGGGGGAGAAACAGAAAGAGAAAGAGAGAAAGGGAGAGGAAGGAGTGATGGATAGAGATGCTCTGCCTGGCTTCCTCCTGACCCAAAACCTGTGCTGGGGGGCTGGGAGTGGGTCTTCCCAGGGCCAAAGACCCCCTCACCCTGCTGAGGGACATTCTGTGAGCATGTCTGCTGTCACGCATTGTCTTATTTGCGACTAGGCAGGGCAGATGGGCCTCATTTCATGGCGAGGCTTGAATAGTTGAAGTGTCTTACCTAAGGACACACAGTTAAGGGCTGGTTCTGGGAGCAGAACCAAGGCCATGTGATTGTTAGCCCAGGGTGCTCTATTTCTGTGCCTGGATACCACCTTCTTTACAGCCTTCACTTCTCCTTCACAGCGCTCCCATGATTGGGGGAATGCATTTATTTGTGCCATTATTATTTTTGTCCCCCTACTAAGCCAGGCTTTCCATGAGGACAAGGACTGTGTCCATCTGTTCACAACATCCTTAGCAAATGCCTGGCCTTCCTCCTCCTTATCACCATCATCTTCAACAGTGGCAGCAGACACCTAGTGTGAGCATGTTGAGTGAATGAGTTGAACGATGCTGGCTCTGCTTTGCTTCTCCCTTTCCTGGAGCTCTCTTCTCCAAAGGCACCATGCTCTTCAGTTATCTGTCATGGATGACTGTGACAACACTGTCAGGCAGCCCTCCAGCCTCCATACTGATAGATTTTACCATATTCTCCCCACTCTTCTGCCTTCCCCACCCCAGTAGCCAGTCAGAGGAGGAGGAAGATGTGTTTGGCCCTCCAAGGAGGAGAAGTTCCCTGGGCCTGAGTGGATATCCTCTGACAGAGGAGGAGCCAGAGATGACTGCGGAGCCTGGAGCTGGAGGCCCAGCCCGCCGACACCTCCCCAGAATCATCTCCATTGAAGAAGACCCTCTGCCCCAGCTCCTGGAGGGTGGCTTCGAGCAGCCACTGACCAAATGCCCAGAAGAAGTCTCCAGTCAAAGAACAGAAGGACACATCCAGAGAGCCCCACACTTGGAACTCACACCTGTTTCCCCGCGAGGGCAGCCTGTTGGGAAAGAAGCCCTATCTAAGGTAAGGGCACACCCCATATTGTTTTGTGGACTTCACTCCTGTGATTTGCACCGTTGCATTTGAGCCCGAGAGCCCTAAGAAGGAGCTCAGGAGGTCAGATCCTACAGGTCTTGTGAGTCACCATACTTGTGTTTTCCTAATAACACCTTCCTTTGCTTAGCAGAGTGTAATGGGGAAAGACCCAAAGGTCCTCATAAATTCTCCTTATAACCTCTGTTGTTTGTCCCCATTCACTTCCCTGTGGGCTCCTGATTCAGATTCAAGAGCATTACCTGAGCACCTACTTAAGATAAGCTGTATGCTATGCTCTTAGCATAAATTTCCACATACTTTTAAGGTTGTCCTTTTTGTAAAAACCTTTTGTCCCTGCTTTAAAAGCTTGAATACCATCATTTTTCTCTTGGTTCTTAATCAGCTAATCGCCCTTTCATTCCCAAATTCCCTGCCTCCTCCTCCCTTCTCCTCCCTTCAGCATGGCCCCTCATTCCTCACTAGGTCTTCCGGCCAAATTCTGCAGGGAGACAGGAAACCATGTAAAAGTCCTCTTACTCATGGTAATGATGCTCTCCACCTTGTACATGACCCAGGCTTTGGAATAGTATCCTCAAGCCCCTATCCTCCACTTAGCCCTCTAAATCAGCTTCAGAATGCCCATGACAATGTGAAAGAGGCTCTTCCCTGCATGCTGTGGCAGCCATTAAGAACTGAGTGGTTGCCACTTTGAACTTCACCCAGGGGCTGTATTAGTATGTGTGCTAGAACCCCAGCTTCTTGGTGTAGGTTATCAGTCTTGGGCCAGGACTGAGATTCATCTCTATGTATCACTCCTTGGAAAGCCCCTAGTACAAAGGACAAGTAGGGACCTGGGTAGCACAAATGCGGTGGGCCCCCTCCTCCTGTAGACCCTTCCATATCCCCTGCAATGCATAGACCTATACTTTCTAGCAGGGAGCACAAATGGCGTCCCACATACCCCAAGATGTTCCTCTAAAATGTGAAAGTGTTGTGAAAAATGGTAAGGAAAAAGGCTGAGCATTCCTATCTGCTGTGCATTGTATCCCCACAGTGGTCTGATGGGCCATGCCAGATATTTATGCTCCCACTGACAGATGGAAAAATTGCAGCCCAGAGGGAAGAGGCCAGGCCCAAGCCCCACAGTGACACAGGCCCGGCCCTCTCCCTGATCTCTCCCACCCAGTGCTCTCTCTGCAAGGCTATACTGCCATTGTCCTAGGGACAGAAATTGTAGCAGAGAGCAAATATGATTTACTAGCAGCCATATCGCAACTCCAAAAGAGGGTCTGCTTTTTTGAAGGCTACTTTGAGCCAGGCCCTACCATATAAGGCAAGAGAGGCATGAATTAGTACCACCCTTCCAGAAAGTCGTTTGATAATATGAATCTAGACCTTTAAAATACCATATCCTTTCAACCAGTACTTCCACTTCTAGGAGTTTTTCCTAAGGAAATAACCAAAACCAGACAAAGATTTAACTCCAGAATGAGAGAGCTATTTATAATAGCAAACAGTTTTAAAAAGTCCAACAATAGTGACATAAATTATAGTTATTAATTCAACAGAATAGTATACAGCTGTTAACAATCACTCAAAAGACTTTAGTAACTCATAAACATATTTATAATTTAATAATATGTATCCTACTTTGGTAGGATAAAATCATATATACATATCTTAAATCTCTATAAACAAAGCATATACTCATGTACTTGTATAGAAAAAAGGCTTGAAGAAAATACATCAAGATATGAATCATAGGTTTGGTGCCCATAGCATAGTGGTTATGGCGCCAGCCACATACACTGAGGCTGGCAGGTTCAAACCTGGCCCAGGCCAGCCAAACAACAATGACAACCGCAACAAAAACAACAAAAAAGTAGCCAGGTGCTGTGGTGGGCACCTGTAGTTCCAGCTGCTTGGGAGGCTGAGGAAAAGAATCACTTAAACCCAAGAGTTTGAGGTTGCTGTGAGCTGTGATGCCATGGCACTCTACTGAGGGTGACATAGTGAGACTCTGTCCCCCAAAAAGAAAAAGATATGAATCATGACCATTTCAGGGTGGCAGGGTAGATTATGAAGAATTATTTTCCTCTCTACTTTTCTGTATTTTCTAATTGTAAAAATTGGGGTATTTTTTACTTTTTACAAGCTTGTTTTTTACATAAGAAGATACATAGGGAGGGAGGATGAGCAGAGATCTCCTGACCTGCTAGCCAAGAGCTCTCTCTCCAGCCTCCTTGCCACAATCCAATTGAGTTACATTGTGTAGGCAGCCAGTGGGCTGTCCTTCAGAGGGGACACAGGGTTAAGTTCATGAACATAAGAGTTTGCTGCTCTTGGGAGGTAAGTCCTGGCTGAGCAGAGCTATTGCTGTGTTTATGGGTTTTTGCCTGCCCAAAACAACCTAATAAACACATGTATATAAACACATGTAAAAATAAAAAAATAAATAAAAAATAAAAAGCTCCACTTTGGTGAGGAGGAAGTGGCCAAAGGGAGTCAGGCAACACTTCTGCCACCAGGACCACTTCCTCCTATCCTGGGCTTCACCTTCCCCATCCTGCACCTGTGCCAGGGGATAATAGATTAGGGCACTAGGTTTTAGTCTCAAACAAAGGACAATTAAAGTACAGAGACAAGAGACCAGCAGAGAAGCAATGCTGTGTGCATCACCCGAATAAAAAAAATGGAGCAGTAGCATAGTTTTGGAGTGTGGGTTTGACTCTTTTTTAATTTTAGTTTAAATTCCTGTAGTTGACCTTGGATTCCCCCTAAGTATTGCATGGAATTGATTTCTCCCCAAAAGGCTGTTAATGGCTTTTCTCTGAAACTCAAGTACTGCTAATATCAGCTGCCACTCCATTATAGTATTTGCTCAATGAGAGGAGCTAATTCCCTCAAATCCACTTTAAAATAGATTCAAAAGAGCCTCCTCATTTGACCAGGCAGCACTGAGCTGGGCATGAAGGCAAGATTCTGGGGAGCAAGCAGCCTGCTGGAAGGAATGGTCATTCTGTGGAAAGGAGCCTGTGCTGCCCAGGGTTCCTTTGTCCACCTTGGGGTCCATTGTGCCCTAGGGCACGCTCACTCTGTCCTAGATGTTAGTGGTCTAGCCCAGGAGACAGCAGCAGTAACTGGATGGCTGGTTAGCTCTGCCCCAAGGTTCTTGCATCACTTATTTCCCAACTTACTGAGTGGAGACTGTCTTGCCTCAGTGGCCCATGGAAGATGGCAACACCTACATGGAAGCTGATGGGATAGGACAGAGCACACCCTCCATGCAATCCAGGCTTCCAGTGACAGGGCAGGAATAAGCAGCTCCCTGTCCCAACCTGAGAGGTCTTTGTCCCTGGGATATAGACAAGTCTTTTGTCATTCTCTTCTGCTCCCTGCCATCACCCAACTTATCCTGGCCCACATGGGAGTTCCTGCCTCTTCCTGAAGCCCCACTTCAGAGCCCCTGCCACCGTGCATCCTTGGCTCCTCCCCGTGCCCACAGCACCTGGAACCTGGTGCTGTCCTTACTGTGCCTGCCTCCTCCACCCAGCCTCACACCAGGGCCAGCCTGTCTTCCTCAGCCCGGGGCCACAGCAGGTGGGCAGCAGATGCCCACCCGGGGCTATCCCTCCCATCCTACAGGTGCTAGAAGCAGCCTCCACACCCAGCCACACTAATTGCCTTCTGAGGCTGCTGTCACCTCCTTGATGTTAGTCTGGAGGCCTGTGGCCAGAGCAGGGGCTCATGACCATGCCCAGGGGTTGGCCAGACTGTCTGCTGTCCTTAGGAGGAGAGCACTTCCTCCACCCCTGACCGGCTCTTCAAGATTGTGTTTGTGGGCAATTCTGCGGTGGGGAAGACGTCCTTCCTGAGGAGGTTCTGTGAGGACCGGTTCTCTCCTGGCATGGTGGCCACTGTGGGTAAGTCCTTGTTCCTCAGGTGGGTCCTAGGCCCATGTCTGGGAAGGGAAGGTGGGAAGTAAGAGGCCCAGGCTGGTAGGGACACTCGTGTCTGCTTCGTTCATGAGCGAGCCTGGGAAAGGCAGGGGTAGCCCACTTCCCGGCACACCACTAGTTGCTAAGTTCATGCTCTGTATGGTGGGACCCCTGACCGCTTTATCAACCCTGCACTGGATTTATAGAGCTAAAGTTGGCAGAGGTAGATTTGAGGCCTTTCCCCTGCATGTACTCCCCTCCCCCACTCACTCCTCCCCACTGTCTGCTCCCAGCAGGCTACCACATTGCCCCGCCTTCCCCATGGCCTGCTACTTCCTCCCATGCCCCTCTCTCTGGGGCCATTCAGGATAAGGAGCTATGGGGATAGTGCTCTCAACAGCTTCTTTTCCCCATCAAATTTTATCAGACCTAAACCTGCTGGGTGACAGCTGGAGTTTATCACAGAAGCTCATCAGGTTCAGAGATAAATGGTGATCATGGCTTAATGTGTTCCCAGTCTTGGAGGATATTTTGTTTGATCCCTTCACCTAGAGTTGCACATTGCACTGGAATATGGGGCAAGACCAAGAGCAGATGGATCTTTTCACTTCAACCAAGTTGAATCACTCAACAAAAAATAAACACAATGAGTGCCTATTTCACCCAGCTGATAAGTCAACTATACTTGAAAACATATAATCCAGTGGTTGTCACCCTTCCTAATGCTGTGAGGAAGCCCTTTCATTGTTACAAAGGGCTCGCGACCCACAGGTTGAGAACCGCTGATATAATCTGAGTATTTCCCAAGAGCTTTCATAGTAATCGTTTCAATGTATATTCATAATCCTGGGGAACAGGTGTTGTTATCAGTCTAATAGATTGGGCAGCTGAGGTCCAGGGAGGTTCAGAGGCTTGTCCACCCTTCCATCAGCAGGCTAGAGGTGACTCCTGGCCCCCATTCCACAATATCCCTAAGAACACTGAGTTGTATACACATAACACCCAATGGGAGGTGGGCACAGGTTGGTGCAGGAGAGGAGGTTGCAGAAGCGCCTTAAATCATCAGAAGTCCTGGCTCTTCATCCTAGCCCCTCCACTGACCAGCTGTGTGACCTCAAAAGAACATAATTCTTCTTTGGGCTCCAGTTTTCTCTAACGTAAGAAATGAGAGAGCTGGACTGGATATCCCAAGATTGCTTCCAAACCCAGGTCTCTGACCAGACTATCTTTGACCTTTGGCTGTCTGACCAGCTGCTTCTACAGGACAAACTTTCCATGCTCAGAGCTCTGCCTGGGGAAGGTCCATTTCCTTTCTCTTGTCCTAAACTGCCCTGTCAACATTTCTTCTATCATGGGTCTCCCCCAATATGTGTCAGGTGTCCCATCCTTACCATTGGGGACATCCTTCCATGCCCTCGCTCTTCCCCACTCCACCCAAAGACTGAGAGCATTCTAAGACAAAAAAAAAAAAAAAAAAAAGGGACCCTGATGGGAACAAGGACAAGACCTGTGAACCAAGGCCAGAAGAGCCTGGCCTTGTGTGGCGTGAGTGAGCGCCAGCTGGGAGTGAGCTGAGCATGGTGATTCCGGTGGCTCAGGAGGGAGACTCACTTCCCTGGAGGGCACTTCCTGGGGGAGGCCCCGCAGTCACAGCTCTAGCATAGGCCTGTAGGCGGCAGTGGCACTGATGCCCAGACCTCAGGCCCTCAAAGGCGTGTCCCCAAAGTTTGTGCATATGGTGTACTTCTCCTGACAATGAAATCAGGGTCCGTTTGCATTTCCAATTTGTGCCCCTGAGATGCAAGGCTCTGAAAATCAGACTAATTTGCACTTCCCAGGAGGCCAATTATGGAAACACCTACAATTTAGAAGAAGAAAAAACAACCCAAAGGTTCCAAATCAGGATGCCCTTCATCACATGCTCAACACACGCTGGAGCAGCAGATCACATTAGCTTCCTTGCCACGCAACTGGCCTTGCTCTGGGACACATGTCAGTAAGCAGATATCACACCAGCCTGCAAATCTCTCCCTCTAAAGAGATATAACAGCCACAGAGTCACAGCCCCCTAAGCCCAAAGCAGCCCAGCCCCAGATAAGGGCTCTGCCCAGTCCCTGGCAGAGGGCAGCAGCCCCTGGACCCCAGTGGCAGGGCTCCATCATCAGAGGGCCTCACTAACTTCCTGGCTCCTGCTCCCTCACAAGAATATAGTTAGTCCTGGACCCTTGACTTGTGTGTTACGGACTCAGGGCATGCTGCCTGCCCCCTCTTATGACCAGCCTGCTCCTTCACGAGCAGGTCCTTGGGCATCCTAGAAACATCACATGATGGTTTCTGATGAACACTGGAGCTGGAAGGAACCTTGGAAATAGTCTATTCACATCCTCCTGTGTTATAAGTGAGAAAATTGAGGTCTACAATGAGCCTGACTCGTAGAGTTAACTAAAGCTCTCTAGAACCCAGGACTCCAAATCCAGTGCTCTTTTCACTACTACACAGTGGTTCACGACACACACCCCCACTTTAAACTGCAGGCCAGAACCCAAGATGTTCCTTCCAAGACTGTTCCCAGCAGAATGGCCTCTGTCCTTTCTTGACCACTAGTCTGAGTTCTATCCTACTCCTGATCTCTGCAGAGATCCCGAGGGATTTTCTCCAGGACCAGCTTGGTTGCACTCCTTGCTCCCACATCCCTCCTGACAGCATGGGCCTATCTTCTTGGGGAAGGTTAACATCACCTGGAAATGCCACCAGATGTTCCTGGAGACCAGCAGCCCAGCTCTAACCCATACCATGGCCCCAAATTGGTCCCCAGGGGTGGTGGCCCTTGACTTCAGCCATCACTCAGGAGCCAGTTAGGATGCAAGAGAAGGGTCACCTCCATGTGATCTGTGAATGCTATGGGGGAGCTTAAAGAGCAGAAGCACCCAGCTTAGCCCCTTGGAAGCTCCAACCTTACTTCAGTCTGGGGCAGTGGTACTCAACCTTCCTAATGCCGCAACGTATTTTCATTGTTACAAAGGGGTTGCAATCCACAGGTTGAGAACTGGTGGTCTAGGGATAAGGGAAGTGAACCCCAAAATGAGAGGAAGTAATGTCATCAAGGTCACACTGCTGGTCAGTAGCAGAGCTCAAACAGGGACGTAGAACACCAGCTTCTTGACTCCTGGGATTTTAGAACTGGTGATCTTAAAACCAATTTCATTCCAGCCACATTATTCTGTGCTGCTGCTGCTTCTGTTGGACCCTGGTGTTTCCTGACCTTGTGTTTCCACATACTGCCTCTCCCTCCTCTCCGCCTTGTGTTCTCCTGGTGTCCTTCACACCCAGCCCCCGCCAGTGTGTGCAGTGGGGAGTTTCGCCAAATGCATCATGGCCCAGAGCACATTTTTCCATTCCTGTGCCTGCAGCGCTCCCTGCAAGACGCATCTATCCATCTCCAGCAAAGCACCTCGCCAGTGAGGTAGATCAGGAATGCTGAGAGCAGTCAGGTCCCAGCCACCCCAGCAGCACCCCTGCCCCTCTGTCTGTGAGCCCCACCAGAAGCAGAGGGCGTTGTCCTCAGGTGATTGGGCCCTACTGGCTGGTTTCAGATCTGGCCCCAGAGGGATTGACTATGGCGGACTTTTTCCTGAGTTGTTAACAAACCAGGCAGCCTCTTCTGTCTCCTGGAGCACAGATCAGGGAAGCCCCTCTGCTTTTAGCCAGGAAGAAAACTCACGCTTGGGTTCAGCTCCCAGCTGTTATAATTAGCTGAGAGCATTTAGCCTGGGCTTTCTAGGTGAAATGAAACTGCTGATGTCCTGTGTTGTGGGTACTGTCATACCAGGAGCAGGGAGCTCAGAGCTGGCTTTGCAGCACCCACACCTGCTAGTGACCACTCTCAACTCCTGCTTCCTCATCTCTCAGTGTTGTGCTTGTGTATGTGTGTGTGTGTGTGTGCACCGATAACAGTTCTCCTGGATGTCATGGGGAAGAAGGAAATATAAAGCTGTCAACCAAAGAGAGAAATCGCTCTTTTTATCCACTCCTCTCTCTGCCCTTGCCTGTGAAGCAAAGGGCCTCTTACTCCCTTCTGGTCCTGACATTCTAGAAGTGGATGATCCTCCCACCTCTTCGCCACTCCCAGGTCCTTAATGCACTAGCCTTTGCCTGGCTGCAGAGGCTGAAATGACCTTCCCCACTTCCCGCTTCTTTGTTATCTGCTTAGTCTCCTCCGTCTCCATCTGTCCATGCTGCTGAGGCTGCTCCCCATCCTCAGCCCTCCAGGGCAAGGACCTCAGAGGCCTTTCTGAAGGTTGGAGGAGATGCCCCCAAGTGCTCAGATCCAATGTGTTAAGGAGGGAGGATTTTGCAGCATCTTTATGCATTGGTGAACATTCTTATAAGATATGAGAGAGAGGAATATCTGTATCAAAACATCTGTATTAAGAGCCTCATCTCTGGGGGCTGCCATGGGGTGCAGAATGCATTTCACTGTTTCTGCTCTCTGGGGTTGATGGCTCCAGCAGGGTCATGGTGATTGATGGCCCCAAGAGTGAGATTAGGAGTTTTAAACCCATCTCAAGGGTGAGCCTTGGCCTTTCCTTCCCTCGCTCCCCCTTCTGCTCGATTCCTTCCTCAGCTGCCAGCACCTCCCCCTCCCCACCCCCCGTTGCTCCTCCCCTCTTGGTTCCCCCTCCTCCTCCACATGCTTTTGAATTGGCTGATGTATGACCCACCCCCTTAGGATATTTGAATTTTATTATTAGACAAAAAAAAGAGAGAAAGAAAGAAAGGGTGAGGGAAAGAAGGAAAGAAGGCAGGAGAGAAGAAGGAAGGGAGGAAATAAAGAAATCTGAGGACAGTATTTCCTCTTCCTCCATCTTCCCAGTAAAAAATAAATTCATGAATAATGACAATCCTCTTGGTGTTAGTCTATTGCTTTTATGTGTGTGATCTGAGTTGATCCTTGTATACTATGGTATGCCTTGTGTAGTGTAGGATAAGTATGGATTACCTTACAGTGAAGAGGCTGTAGTTCAGCAAAGTTCAGTGATTTAGGTCCCACAGCCAATAAATGGCAGAGATGGGATCAGAACTCAGGTCCAACACATCTCTGTCTAGTTCTCTCTCTGTGTCCCCACGTTCCCTCCCAGGAGCTACATAGGGAGGGCTGTTACCCTGGGCCTGATGTGATTCCAGACACGTTGCAAGCATCATTTCCCAACTTAGAAGTGAGATGCCCATGGCCCAGGGCAGCCCTGACAGCCCTGTTCCACCTTGCAGGCATCGATTACCAAGTGAAGACGGTGAATGTGGACGACTCTCAGGTGGCCCTGCAGCTGTGGGACACGGCTGGCCAAGAGAGGTGAGGAGCTGCCCCTGAACTCCTGGACTCCAGCGGGAAGGCCACGCACCCCTGACCCCTGGCCCTTTGGTGGCAGGTATCGTTGCATCACCCAGCAGTTCTTCAGAAAGGTCGATGGTGTCATCGTCATGTACGACCTCACAGCCAAGCAGTCGTTCCTGTCGGTGAGGCAGTGGCTGAGCAGCGTGGAGGTGAGCTGGCTTCCTGGGACACTTGTGCTCAACCGTTGCTTACCCCTTCTTCTCGGCTCATTCCCACCTGGGCCTCTGCACTCCCAAACCTCGTTCAGAACTCACCTTCTCCAAACAGTCCTATTCAGCTGAGTTCCGAGCACTAGGCCAGTTACTGGACATCCGGAAGTAAGACAGACACTGTCCCTGCCCTCATAGAAAGAGGGGTCATGAAAAATACAGATTACACTAGTAATTATGTCACAGCTGTGTTTTATGAGTGAGATTGGGCGGGGAAGAGGGCACCGAGTGGAATGTCAAGAGAAATCAGTATCTGGAATGAGTCACAGCTGAATTCTAACCTCAGTCTCACCACCACTTCCCTATCCCATGTAGCTTTCTAGTCCCAGAGGGCTCAGCTGTGCCCTGCGTAGGAGCCACACCATGTAGGGTTTGGGGGCTCCTGTCACAGCCTTTCTCCCAAGGTGGGGTTGATCCACCAATGTGAGGGCTCCAAGCTCACCCCAAGACCAAGGGTCTTAGCAGGGCCCAAGAGCAACTGGGTTCCCTTTGCCTTCTGAGTTATCTCTAAGACTCTACATTCTTGATTCACTTGCAATATTTTGCTTTGCAAGTACTTTTTACTACTGGCCATCTGCCTGTTCTTCTGCCACTCTGATGCAGGCTTCTCGAGGACAAGGGCAGTGTGGACAAGCCACTTACTGCTTTTTACAGGCCCTTAGCTGATTCTCTCACAAAACAGTTGAGTCGGATGTCCCAACCCCTTCCGCCAGCAGGATTCATCATCTGTTCATAGATTGGTTCAAAACGCTGCCAGGCACAATCCCAGGGCCTGGGATTCTATAATAGTAGTGAATAAAAGAGCCAAAGCTCGTGCCTTCATGGAGCTGACGTTCAACCCTCTGCTCCATGCCCATAAGACCCGGCATCTTCCCAGCACTTACTTATCAGACTGCTGTAAATCCAGCCTGTGTGCCCTGCTGAACTCTGCACCTCCTGAGAACAGAAGTTGCATCTTTGTCACTGTAACCTCGTGTTTGGCAGCTGTTGGGTGGACGCGTGAATACCATATCGCTGTAAAGGGGGAACTCTAGACCTGTCAATTTCCTTATCCCTTTTGGCCCGCAGAGCTATGATTCCTTCCATCCAAATCTGTTTCTCTTAGAGTTTTACTGCCTAGCTCACTCCCTTTCTCCACGGTTAATCTGCATCCTTCTAATTACCAAGAAAAATACAGAACAGAATGCAAGCCAGATTCAAGGGGTTCTCAGAAATTTGCTTCATCCAAATTATTACACAAAACTTACCGTGATTAATTCACAACTGAGAAAATGTAAGTTTTGAAGTCTGGTGGATTATCTGTACACCAACCTGGTAATGGAACTAAACGGTATGAGTAAATCTGGCGGTAATTCTTATTTAAACTTTGGGATTTATGATCTGATTATTTTTCTGTGTTTCATTTTTGTTGTTGTTAGCAGCAGCTGATTTGTCTTCCTCACAGAGGTTAAGGACCAGGAGACACTTTAGAGATTACCTATCCCTGTGGTTTCTAGAGTTCCTTCCTTGGAGCCCTGGAATCAAACTGATATTCCCCAGGGATTGGAATGGGTGGTGGGTAAAGGGATGGTGGTCACAGTTCTGGGTTCCTCGCCCCACTGTCTCAGTCAGAGCTGTCCTGCTCATTTCAGTTTTGTTTTTTGGGGGGTCCAAGTACAATTTTGTTGGGCAAAAGGGTTTCCCCTTGAAAATCACCCACCTAGGGTGGTGTCCATGGCTCAGTGGGTAGGGCGCCAGCCCCATATACCAAGGGTGGCGGGTTCAAACCTGGCCCTGGCTAGCTAAAAAATAGCAGTGGCAAGGCGTTGTGACAGGCGCCTGCAGTCCCAGCTACTCGGGAGGCGAGGCAAGAGAATCACTTAAGCTCAAGAGTTGGAGGTTGCTGTTTGCTGTGACACCATGGCACTCTACTAAGTGCAACAGAGTAAGTCTCTGTCTCAAAAAATAAAGAAAAGAAAAAAGAAAATCACCCATCTAGTACAGCCATCTCATTCAAAAGTGAGGAGATCAAAGCCTTAACTTCTCCAGGGTCACCTGCTCTTTTCTCTGCCACAGACATTTAATTATCCCCAAATATCCAAATTTTGGCCTACACCAGAGCAGAAGTCCAAGTGGTCTGGGATTAATGAGAATGGATGGAGACAACTTTATGGTACTGTGCTCCCTGTCATCATTAGGGAGTATAATTTCTAAGGCTCTTGTTTTACACAGATAGCCTTAGATCTAGCAGAAGAGGTGGAACTTCAGGTTGAATTTGGTGGTGGAGGTGCAGAAATTACAGAAGGCCATCATCACAGCTTGAAGTCTAAGTCTAGTCAGGCTCCAGAGGTGTTCCTCGGTGGGATGGGGCTGAGAAGCATCATAGCAGGTGGCTGGTAAGATGCCCATGGAAGCCTTAGTGTATCTGTGGACTCAGAAGGCTGGGATGAGATGGCGAATCCATACGTGGTTAACTCGGAATGTCTGTGTGTAGATGGGACTTTTCTGTATAATTTGTAGCTTGAGTTTTTTCTTTTCTTTCTTT